AGACCACATCTGCATTCGTCTCATATGAAAGGAGATTTGATGTGATTACTTGCTTGAAAAAACTAGGACATGGTTGTTTATGATAAGGATGATGTAGGTGACAATGGTTTAGGGTTTCTTTGAACTTGGAGACGATGGAATGAAACAAACTCAACGAAGAAGATGATAGACTATGACATACTCAATGAAGGAGACAATGGTTTAGGGTTTTCTTGAACCTTTGATTAATATGAATAGAAATAAATAGTTTTTAATATTTAAATGATAAAAAATATCATCAAAAAATAAAATAATGATTTTTTTAATTTAAATATTTTCAGGTAAACATGTTTAATGATGTGACATCAGATACTCGAGACTACCTCACTACTTTGAGGTGCCACATACACAAAAATAAATAGGGTAAAAAATCCAAAAAAAAAAGTTTAATAAAGAGCTCAAAAAAATTGAATTTTTTTAAGAGAAATTTTTTTTAATTTAAATATTTTTAGATAAACATGTTTAATGATGTGGCACCACATACTCGAGACTACGTCACTTTGAGGTGTCACATACACAAAAATAAATAGGGTAAAAAATCCGGAAAAAAAAGTTTAATAAAGAGCTCAAAAAATTTGAATTTTTTCAAGAGAAAACTATAAATTTAAAAATAACAAATAGAATGACTAAAACTACATTTAAACTTATACATTTATAATACCAAAAATACTTTAAAAAAAAAGTCTTAACTCCTCTTTAAAAAGATTAAAATTGTAAATGAAGAGGTCCTTAAATATAATGGGTGGATCAAAATTTCTCTATAAAAATAAGCGTTGGCACCATTCATGTTTAAGATAAGGTTATGGATCATTATGTTGTATTAATCCTTTTAATTCCGAGTACCATATTCACAAGAATTGATATTGGCTTCACAATCTCATTGTTTTATCTTCTTTTAAAGTGTTCTCTTTGGTTAGGTGAGTTGGTCATCTACTTATTTTTATCAATGCTTTTTTAAGCTAATTTTTTTGTTTAATATTTAATTGCTAGCTCTTGTATTTTTAAAATGGTTAAAGCAAAAAAAAATGTACAATTTTTCTCAATATCTTTTTTTAACAAAACATCTCCAAGAAAATCATTCAACAAATTTAGTGGAAGCAATATATCATCATATACTATACTTTAATACTGAATAAATTATAATATCCCAAATTTTTGTCCTGGTCTAATAGGAATATCGTGTTAATTGGGCACATTGTCATTTATATTTTAATATGTTATATATGAGAACAAAGTTTATAAAAGAACGCGTTTGAAAAAAAAATCATAATAAGTAGGTGTAAGCAGATAAAAAAAATCAAATAAAATTAACAATTTAAATCATATCAAGTTGAAAAAAATATCAATTATTTATAGTTAAGTTTTAAAACCGGATCAATCTAATAAAAATTAAGATGGTTTGATTTAATTTTCAATTTTAATTTTTAATAACAATCAAATTGATAGACTGAACTAATGATTATAATTTCTCTCATAATATTTTATTTTGTTTATCGTTAAATCTATATTTTATATGGGTTCAATCATTCTTATTATTTGTTTACACTTTCTTCCTTTTAGTAAAACACACAATTAAAATCAAACTTTAAATATAAAAAGTAGAAATCATAAGTTACAAAAATTTATTTTCACCAAATTGTTACTCTAATTGCACGTCATCATTGTTGCTTTCTCTGATGGTCGTCTTCTTCGTGTTCAAGTCTCTCCGTTAATTTTCTTCTTTTTTAAAACCTTTTTGTTTCTCCTTCTTCAATGAAATTACATCTAATCTTATTACAAAATAATTTTTGTGTGTATTAGAAGTGTATGTTAACTTATGTGTATTGAAATTTTTTGTTATTATTATTGTGTTTTATTTGTTAAGACTTTAAATTTCTTACGAATCTTCGGATACCAAATGTCAACTTATTTATTTGATAATAAATTTATTTTATAATAGAATAGAAATCATATTTCATATGGATTAAAAATAATTTATAAATTATTTTGTAAAAAATTTGAGAATAAAGTAAATTATTTAAAAAAATAAAAACATATAATACACTGAAAAAAACCATAATGAAAGATACATATATAAATATGATAATCGTAAAAAGATTGTAAATTAATCAACTAAATTAAACTTAAAAAATCAATTAATTTAATTCGATTTTCTTTTTAAAAAGTATTAAAAAAACTAAATCAAACTATATCGATACAATTTTTTAACTAAATTACACCCCCCAACCTAAATTACACCCCAACATAAGAAACTATAGGTTAGAATTGACCAAATAGATAGATTAGACCGACTTAAATTAAAGTGAAATGGAAAGATTATAATTCTTTATCCTTTTGTGGAATAAAAAATACTTTCTAATTGAATCATTGAAAATAATTCTTTAATACATTTTTAATTCATTAAAAATAATTACAAAATATTCATTGAACATAAAAATCGTTCAATTTATATTTTACTCCCTTATTTTTTTTTAATCTTGGTTTAGTCTAATGGTAAAGATTTAAGTTTTTTATTTTTAAAATTTTAAATTCAAATCGATTAAGTGTATATAATTCCTGTGTTAGATTAAATCTATATAAAAATTTGCTCTAACTTTAAACGGACTGTTACAAGTAAATGGTAAAATTAATCCCTTAAATTAGTCGGTTTGATTATCAAAGTTTAAAAAAAAATTGTTTTGAATTTTAACACTTATTAAAAACTGTAATAATCGTTTAATAAAAAAGGGAAATCATAAAAAACTATAAAATTGTTCTTTTCTGATAGTATAATAAAGATAAATTTACATTAAAAAAGAATTAAAGATATAAATTATTTATATTAAAAATAATAAATATTATTCAATAAATAATATTGAGTTGACAAAATTTAATAAAATTTGAATTTGACTTTTTAAGCTCGTTTATATTATTATTATTATTATTATTATTATTATTATTATTATTATTATTATTATTATTATTATTATTATTATTATTATTATTATTATTATTATTATTGAATTTAGCCAGGAGATTTAATCTGAGATTAAATCCTCGAAAGAAAAAACAATTTTATTTGGGGTAAAGTCCCTCGCAAAATGCAGATTAGAAAAAAAAATTAAAAAAAATTGCGTGGGGTTATCCCTCATAAAATTAAAAGAGAGAAATTTTGAATTTTAAAATATTGACTTGCGAGGGGCTTACTCTTGGAAAAAAATGAGCGCGTAAATTCCTACATTTAGCGAGGGACAACCCCAAACTGATTGTCAACGTGACAATAGGGAGGGGCAATCCCACGCCACCTAGACAACTTTTGTCTAGTCATGACAACGTGCAGATTGCGCGTGTGTGGGAGGCTGTTTCCAAGAAATACATTAGCGACGGAGTGCCCCACGCAAGATTTGACCGTTTCAATTTCCATAGGCTGCCCCTCGCTAAATTCTACATCTTTCCCCTGTTTCAGTACT